CGGTTCCGCACAGTTCATACGCAAAATGGCATGGCTGAGTCATTAATAAAGCGGTTGCAGTTAATTGCAAGACCGTTAATCTTGAGAACAAAACTCCCAATCACTGTATGGGGACATGCAATATTGCATGCGGGAGCCTTGGTTCAAGTGAGACCAAGTGCTTATAATAAATTTTCGCCCATACAGTTGGCATTTGGAAATATGCCAAATATATCCCATCTCCGGGTATTCGGGTGTGCGGTCTATATCCCAATAGCGCCACCACAGAGATCAAAAATGGGACCACAGAGGAGATTGGGAATATATGTCGGGTATTCGTCCCCTAGTATAATAAGGTATCTTGAACCGGCAACTGGTGATATGTTTACGGCACAATTTGCCGATAGCCAACTTTGATGAAAATGAATTCCCTGCGTTAGGGGGAGGGTCGAGAGAATCACCAAATGATATCACCTGGTGTACACACTCTTTGGCTTATCTTGATCCTCCTTCTAATCAACGCGAGGTGGAAGTTCAGAAAATTATACATATGCAAAGATTGGCTAACCAGTTGCCCGATGCGTTCACAGATACGAAAAGGGTGACGAAGTCCTATATCCCCGCTGCTAATGCTCCATCAAAAATAGAAGTTCCTCATGAACATTTTGATGTGAATAGAGCAAGTGAACCGGTTCAATTAAAGCGCGGGAGGCCTATAGGATCAAAGGATAAAAATCCCCGAAAGAAAAAGAATTGTGGAGTAAAGGTTCCTGATGAACCGAAATGTCTTGAAGACATTTCCGAACAGGTTCTTGTAGAACCTGATAAAGAGGTTCGTCAAGATGACGAACCAGAGACAGAAAAATTTGAGATCTCCATCTCCTTCGCCCAAAGTGGAAAAATATGGGTAGAAGTGAAATAGATGATGATGAAATGTTCTCTTTTTCTGTAGCTAAAGAGATCGATCATGAAAATGATGATCCAGATCCAATTTCCGTGTCAGAGTGCCAAAAGAGGCCGGACTGGGAGAAATACAAATAGCCATGAAGAATGAAATATTCTCTCTCAATAAACGGACTGTATTCGGACCGATAATCATTACACCAAAAGATGTAATGCCGGTTGGATACAAATGGGTTTTTGTAAGAAAAAGAAATGAGAAAAACGAAGTCACAAGATATAAAGCTCGTCTTGTGGCTCAAGGTTTTTCTCAAAGACCGGGGATAGATTATGAAGAAACATATTCCCCGGTAATGGATGCAATCACCTTCAGGTACTTGATGAGCCTAACGGCCTCTAATAATTTAGAGATGTACCTGATGGATGTTGTGACTGCATACCTATATGGCTCACTTGATAGTGAGATATATATGAAAATTCCTGAGGGATTTAAGATCCCAGAAGGGTCAAAGATGCTGAAGCATCTAAAGAGCTTTGTTCGGTCAAACTCCAGCGATCACTTTATGGATTAAAACAATCCGGCCGCATGTGGTACAATCGCTTAAGTGAATACTTGTTGAGTAAAGGTTACGTCAACAATGCGATTTGTCCATGCGTGTTCATAAAGAAATCCTCAACGGGTTTTGTGATCATTGCTGTGTATGTTGATGACCTGAACATGATTGGAACTCAAAAGGAGATTGATGATGCAAGAACTCATATGAAAGATGAGTTTGAAATGAAAGATCTTGGAAAGACAAAGTTTTGTCTTGGGCTCCAGATAGAGCATTTCCAAGATGGAATATTTTTGCATCAATCAAATTACACCAAAAGGGTATTAAAGCGCTTTTATATGGATAAAGCGACTCCTTTGAGTAGTCCAATGGTCAATAGATCGCTTGATGTTAACAAGGATCCATTTCGACCTATTGAAGATTCTGAAGAAATGTTAGGTCCTGAAGTACCTTACATGAGCGCCATCGGGGCACTTATGTATCTTGCAAATTGCACTAGACCAGATATAGCTTTTGCTACTAATCTGCTTGCAAGATACAGCTCATCGCCTACCAGAAGACATTGGAACGGAATAAAACATATATTCCGTTATCTTCAAGGTACGATTGAGTTTGGATTATATTATTCAAGAAACCCCGAGGTTGGTTTAGTTGGTTTTGCAGATGCTGGCTACTTGTCTGATCCGCATAAGCTCGATCGCAAACCGGTTATGTTTTCACATACGGTGGAACCGCGATCTCTGGCGTTCCCAAAAACAAACTTTGGTTGCAACGTCTTCAAATTATGCGGAAATCATTGCTCTCCATGAAGCATGTAGAGAGTGTGTATGGTTGAGATCTTTGATCCAACATATACAAGAAGCCAGCGGAGTATCTACAAAGAAAGAGCCAACAACATCTACGAAGACAATTCTGCATGTGTCACTCAACTCAAAGAAGGCTACATCAAGAGCGACAGGACAAAACACATCCCTCCAAGATTTTTCTCCTACACTCAAGAACTCGAGAAGAATCAAGAAGTGGATATTCAGTATGTTCGCTCAAGTGACAACGCAGCTGATCTCTTCACAAAGGCGCTTCCTACTACAGTGTTCAAGAAGCATGTTCAAGTATTGGAATGCGTCGTCTACAAGATTTGTGAAGAGAAGACTATATCTATTTTCAGGGGGAGTTTGCTTCGCGGTACTCTTTTTCCTTTTTCTCATGGTTTTTATCCCAATGATTTTTTCTATGTTAAGATTTTAATGAGGCCGCATGCATCTTCACAGAAATGGATAATTAAGAGGAAGTATTATAGAGGATAATTATCAACATTCTCTCACCTATTACTCACCACCTTAGTCATCACTATATTTTATTACTTTTATGTAAATATCTTTCTTTGTAACCGACATACACTCCTATAAATAGGAGTTGTTTTCTTTTGTTGTAAGTACACACAGAAAACCAACGAAAGAGTTAGAATAAAAGTTGTTCCTCTCTCTCTCTCATTCTTTATTTCTGACCCCACCACTCTTTCTTATTATTAAATAAGTAGTTTATAACATGATAAACTTATTTAACAAATATTTATTGTTTCCGGCAAAAAACAGTAAGCGAAAATTCGGCTGCGACGAGAAATGATCATCTCCGTCTCCATTGTTGCATGATTGCATCATCCCTTTCTCTTCTCCATTCGTCTCATCAGAAATTCTCCGTCGATCTCTACTCGTATCAAAATCCTTACCGGATATGCCCGATCGTTTGCTCCGGCGTCAGAATGGACAGAGCTACGCGGCAGCGGCAGATCCGCCACAGAAGCTAGGGTTTCTCTCGTTCTCGCTCTCGCCTCTCAGGCTTCCTCTGCCTCTCAACGCCGTAAATTTTCCGTCTTCCTTAATCTCCAACTGCTTCTATTGCCGCAATTTGAAGTCCTTCAATGTCAACTCTCTGTTTGGGTTTTGTTTTCTAACAGTCTTGGCTGATTTGGCGGTGGAGACTGCGAAATACGTGTTTCCGAAGAGATTCAATAGCTCAAATCTGGAAGAAGCGTTGATGTCTGGTTAGTTTGTTAGCTTATGATTGTTCATGATTTGGGTTCTTCTTCTTATTTATCTGTTTTGTTCATTGAGTTTTGTGTTATTTCTATGTAGTTCCGGATCTGGAGACGATGAATTTCAGAGTTCTTAGCAGGACAGACAAATACGAGATTAGAGAAGTCGAGGTTGTTCTTTCACTCACACTTGTCTGTTTGCAATATGATCTCTCTCACTTTAAAGAAGTTTGAATTTTGGAAACAGCCTTATTTTGTGGCCGAGACTACAATGCCAGCGGAAAATGGCTTCAAGGTCTTTCAACGTGTTAGCTGAGTACCTGTTTGGTAAGGTAGTATGAAACATTACTTATGAATTTTGCTGCCCCTCTGTTTTGATTCGAATATTGATTCGAATACTTGTGTTTTCAACAGAACACAGTCAATGAGAAAATGGAGATGACGACCCCTGTTGTTACTCGTAAAGTCCAATCTGTTGGTAAAAAAGATGGAAATGATCACTCCAGTAATAATTAGGAAGGTAATATCTATTGAGAGCATCACATTCAGGTTATCAGTTTGCACATTTAGTGCTGATTCGATTTTTACCTTTTACTTGTTCCTAGTCAATTGGTATCTAAATGTTTTGCATGTGTTCTCTTGCTTCAGGCAAAAAGATCAAACCCAATGGCAAATGTCTTTTGTCATGCCTTCAAAGTATGGTTCAAATTTGCCATAGCCAAAAGATTCTTCGGTCAAGATTCAGGAGGTGCCACGAAAGATTGTTGCTGTTGTTACCTTCTCAGGTAAATGATATACTCGATTTCACTTCCACATGACATACCCTTGAGTCCTTGACATGCAGGCACATGTTTGAAGCAAAACCAAAACTTTATTTTCGGGCTACGTTACCGATGAAGAGATTGAGAAACGTGAGCAAGAACTAAGGAGATCTCTTCAAAATGACAAGATTTTTCGAGTGAGAGATGGAGTTTCAGTTGAAGTTGCACAGGTTCATCAACAAATCACTGCTATAAATGTATTAAAATCCAATCTTATTTCTTAGACTCTCTACTTGACACTTTGCAAATTCATTACTTGCAGTACAATCCACCATTCACTCTCCCGTTTACCCGCCGCAACCGCAACGAGGTCTCTCTCGAAGTGGAAAGCAAAGAAGATTAGCACCTTCGCAGGGACATACATTAATACATACGTATAATACATACATACACACAGTTGTATACAGTACAATAGTTGTTGTGCTAAAGACAAAACGCGTGTACTTGAATAGTTGGAATGTGAGTAGTAAATTATTAATTCTTCTTCACCCACCATTATGGATCTTTACTCTGCTTATAGGCCACTATAGATGGCTATTATAGGCATATACGCTTTGAAATTAGCCCAAACAAGCACTCACACTTTTTACCTTTTGGAAAATTTCATCTTAACAAAATTTACACACTTTTTTGGATTTTAATACAAATTTTGAGCTTTCTGAAAAAAAAAGATTACATCTATTACTACTTGGAACAGTATTTCTGGGAATTTTACATGCTTTCTTGAATTATCTTTGAGTCTTTGTGTTATCTATATATACACATGTATGTGTCATAATATGTGTAGATATGGACATGCTATAGGCTAATCAGATTCAGGAATGCTATCTAACAAAGGCCTCCAGCCTCTAGTACACTCATCATCATCATCATCATCATCCTCATCCTCATCACACATATGTTGCTTAGCAAGATTCTTATAAACAATCTATTGAACTGATCCTCCCTGAAGCAGCTTTTCAAGCTCTTGCTTACTCACAACCATCTTCACCCTCACAACACTAGCACGTTTATCCTTGGTGTTGTCACACCAGGCCCGCCCAGCCATAAGGCACATGATGCATTAGATTTAGGCCACCATGATATTTAGTGTTTTTTAGGGCCACAATTACATGTAGCTGAAATAGCATAGTTGTTATGACAGATGATTTTAACATTCCCTGCATGAGTTCGAACCCAAGATAGATCCCAAATTTATAGTTTTGAAATAATTTTTTTTTTCTAGGCCACATTTAAAAAAAAATCTTTAGGCCACATAATATCTCGGGCCGACACTGTGTCACACAATCTGTAAATCTATCTATCTTCTTCTTCTTCTTCTACTTTCTTCTCCACCTCTGGATTTGCAAACCTGACTTTCTTCATCGTCGTCTTCTTCTTCTTGATTGTGGCCATCTCCTTGGGCATCAGATAGTAGAGATGACCACAGAGAAGCTTGGATTGTGGATGAAGATGACAGTTGTTGGAGAGGGAGTCGAAGAGAGAGTAGTGATTTGAGAATTGTGTCAGGATGTGATGAACCTTCTTGGGTCCTCTGTATTCAACTACTTTGCCATCATCTCTCATTATCTTTATCACTTTTTTCTCCATTACTATACAATTCCCCATCTTTTTTTGTTTGAGTTTTTGGAGTTTTTTTCCCTTACTTTAGTAATTTAGGTTAGTGATTTCTTATGTGTAAATGTGTTTGGAGATTTTTTCTCATGTTTGAGTTTGGAAATTTGTGTTTGTATAATTTATAGAGTTTAGGTTATGAAAATACCTTTGCCTTCTTGAGAGTATTACGAGGACTGCCATTATCTCAGGTCGTCCAAGTCCATTTCGTCACCATTGAGCACTTCTGTGTCTCCGTCTGATTGGTTTGGACAATCCTTGTCTTTCATGAGCAGCTGGGTGTCTCTCCCTGATAGCATTAGGTATTCTTGGAGTTTATCCACGCCCTCTCTCCTCCATAGCAGCTGGTGTCGTTGCCCAATTGGTTTAGGCTTGCTTCGTCTTCATTCAGTAGCTGGATGTTGCTACATGATTGGCCCATCTTAGAAGCTGCTGTGTATCTCCATTTGATTCGTCCATTTCTGGATAAGATCATCCAATAAGAATGCTTATCCACGGCCTCACTCTCTCCTAGCAGGTAGTGTTGATGCACGATTGGTCCAACACAATTTCGTCCCATTCCAATAGCTCAATGTCTCTACTTGATTGGCTGAATGGTTTTGGCTCCATTGTAGTAGCTGCATGTCTTCTCCATATTGGTTATGATCATCCTTATCTTCTCCAAGTAGCTGGTGTCACCACTTGATTGGCTTAGAACAAGATTGCTCCAATGTACGTTTCCTCGTCCAGAGGGTTTCGTACGTTTCCCTGTCCGGAGGGTTTCGTCCCCGTCGTGCTTGAGAATTAAAATCTCCTATTTTAATCCTTCTCTCATTTCCATGTTTCTGAGCTTCCACATAGTTGCTTGGAAATGTGCGGAATACCTCCATCCCGAACATTTACGTTTCTTGCAGTCGTTGCGGGATAGATCTTGGGCGTTCGTCCCATCTCTCAATCTGCTCGTCCGATTTGCATTCTGCTTCGACCAAACTTCTTAGAATGGTCTCTTATGTCGTCCAAACTCTTCTCTTCTTGATTTGGAGAACTTTGATATTTCGTCGTCCTGTTGACTCTTCCCATGTTCGTACAATGATCGTCCCACCTGGACAATCTTGCTGTATCTTCACTTCTGCTCGATCGTTCTTGATCCTGTCTTGATCCAAGTCTTCGTTGTGATCTCTGGATTAGATCCCACGTCTTTGTCTTCCAATCCCAGAGTGTTGATCTTCCCATCCCGGCCTTTGGGATGTTTTAGGTCTTGATACGGGGTATCACATTCTCCCCCCCTTAATAGAATTCGTCCCCGAATTCCAGTTGTAGAGAGTAGGAACGTTCCATTGTTCCGGTGTCTCTCTCCATCTTTGAAGATGCCTTGCCTCCTCTTACTCTGTCTTCACGTTGTCTCCTTGCAGACTCCTCTTACTTTGTCTTCACGTTGTCCCCTTGCAGACTCCTCTTCCACTGATCTCCTCTGATCCTCCTTGCTCAAATCTCCATTCCCATAACCATCCATCCCGGCTTTAACTATGGGTTATCTAATGTCAAAACCGTACCTTAACCAACACTTCCCTTGTTGGTCTTGATCCCGGTCTGACCACTCTAGCGAGGTTCTCCTAACTTCGCTAACCACCTAACCTCTTACTCAAGGATTTTTCCGTCCTAGCTTTATTTCCCTCTTGGAAACAGCATTCACGGAATTTCCTTCTATTAACACATCGCTTCCCTTTAAGGGTTCCACTCGATGTGCTAATACCCAAAACTACTTTACCAGAACCACTTGGTTCCAAGGATATCCGCTCTAGTTTCATTTCCCCCTGGAAATAGAAACATCGGAATCTCCTTTCACCACATCGTTTCCCAAAACATGGGTTTCCTAAACGATGTCTCTACCAAACTCAACTTAAACCACCAAACAATCCTACTTACTATACCAAGCAAGCAAGAAAATAAACCATTCAAAGATTGAGTTAGAACCCGAAAAATACCTTTTCTCGGCATGTGGTTTAGGGTTCCTAGACTCTATCTTACATTCTACGGCTTCCACTCCCTGGTCGCCTCTCTCTCCTTGTGGTTGAGCGGGTGGGTTGACTAGTACTGGGGCAGTTCCTTGGACAGTCTGCTGAGAAATGTCCTTTCTCTCCACAAGTAAGGCAAATGTTCTGCCTTTCATTCATCCTTGATCTAGCTCGCACATTGGGACATGCTCGGCTATGATGTCCCGTCCCTCCACATTGATCGCATGGTAGCGTGACTTGAGACGGTGCTGGGACTCTCATCCTCGCGAGTCTTCTGGGAGGCCTTCCCCTTTGGCGTGACACAGTTTGCTCTTGGCCATTACCCTCTGTTCTGAGATTCTCCAATTCTGTGGCGATTATCTCATCCCACCTTCTTGCTAAGTTAAGACCTTCATCATCTTGTGGCCATTCATTCTCTCCGGTACCTTCCTCCGTGGTTTGGTTAAGATCCGGTATTTGATATTCATTGCCTGCCACCGAGTTTGGTGCATCTTGTTCTCCATACATTGTACACCATATCGCATTAGCTTCTCCTTGATCTTGAGGTATGCTTCCTTCTCCATGCTCCATTGATGATGTGTATCCAGCGATCTCGTTGAGTTTCCTTGTCCAGTACGTGGGTGATACGTTCTGGTGTCCAAGATAATCCTCCCATGTTGGTTCCGGCGTATCCGGTTCTTCAGGTTGGTTTGTGAAGACTTCACTATTGACTTGAACTGCAACGGCTGGATCATTGCTTTCTACGCCACTGGTAATGAACGGGTACACGTAGTCCGTTGGATTCTCCTCCGTTGGCATGTACGGGTATACTCCACCTCCCGGTGCAAATACATGCGGCATTGGTATATGCGGTAGAACACTTGGTGGACTATCTCTATCCCAAGAGTTTGGTGTAGTCTCGCCTGAACTGATCTCTATGATTTGGGTAGATGGCACTACTCTCTCCTCCTCAGGGTAATGTACTGGCCATGTCATGTGTTCGCCATACTCATTCACCGTTGTGCTGGGCTGCACGTTGTCTCTCGGCATGAGATATACGTCCTCGTCCCAATCACTGCTGCTATCATGATCTGTTAGTGTCTGCTGTTCCAAGTCCGTCACTACGATCCAGTGCTCCGAATTGCTCGACGGTTCTGAACTCGACGATCCAGACTCAGCTGTCCACTCTTGCCCAGTACTAAACCACGACCCCTCATCATCCACAAACCAGTCACTCATGACTTCAAGCTATCACCACAAAGCAAACATTAGGGTTCCTATTCAACACAATCTATCCCATGGATGATCCGCATCCATCTATTCTATGGATGATCAACACCCATAGACACCTCAAACATGGCTTACCACATTGCACAATGTTACCATAACCTCTATACTGACCATGCAACAATCAAACAAGAACATGCATGATCAATCAGAAATTATAAGCAACATCAAGCAATGCTTAACCACAACCTAAACATTCTACCTATATGCTGCAGACAGACCAGATTACCTAAGGTAGTTTTTGCGACTCTTTTTGACTCGATAAAACGTTTTAAAATCCTTGTTCCCGAGCATGATCATGAACCATGCTCTGATACCACCATTTGTAACACCCCCGAACCGTCCTAGGCACAGACGTTCCGAGAAGCGCCACAAAATGTCGATGTTCGCCGAATAGGCCATCCCAGACTAAGAACAAATCAGAGCCCAGGTCAGCCCGTTCCACGAACTCGACCCTCTTGACCAAAGCCTAAGGCTTGCCAACCCGTACTTCGGTCAGGAGTTGTGTTAGCCCGGACCAAGCTAATATCATTGGAACATAAGGTCTTTACATAAAACTTTCCTTTATTAAAATATCAGAGTGCTTACATGACATGAACATGTGTAACGAACTACGAATGGCTTGATCCCGGCACAGGTACGTAGGCAACCTTTTTCACTAAGGGCGCAGTTATAATACTTAATAAAATTAAATTTTTTTTAAGTCCTTTTTCATCTCGACAAGCGCGCCTCATCCCTTTCGATTCATTTGATGGAGGTCATATAACAAATCTAACACTTTTCGCAATTGGTTCCTTTTTGTCAAGATTAAAATGATTTGATTTCGAATATTCAAATTCAAGTTATTCTTTTAAAGCGGGCTTTTATTTTCCGCATAACCGTAAAGTTAAATAGAAAAAGGTTATATTAGTAGATATGATTGATTTTAACAATTTATCCATAATCGAAAAACTTGTTTGGATTATTTTTGATACTAACAAATTAAAATTGGATAACTTCATTTGTCTTGGATATGTCCCTTTGTTGTATTGTTAAACGTTTCAGTGTGATTTCCTTTCACTAGCCGTATTTAGAATTTGTTAGAGAAGAAATTAGTACATTTCCTTGAGCCCGTCACTATTAGTAAAATCACCAAAGCTCAATCCAACTTTAGTTATAACCTTCTCAACGAAATGACAAGACTTGAGGAGAAAGGCACAACTCATGAGGAAATATAAACCAACCCTCACGCCGACTCGAAGAATGGAAGGAAATCAAGAATAAGAGGAAGTTTTCCATATCGCTAAAGAGGAAGTTTTCCATCCCGCCGGAAGGAGAATATTCATCAAAAGGCCGACCTATCGACACTATATAATGAAGACCCCCCACTCAGGGAGGGGCATCCAAGATCATCGAGAACTACTCACAAGAAATCTAGGCCTAGCATCCTTTTTACTCTTCTTTTTTTTTCCTCTTGTTCATCATAGTTTGTCTCGTCAAGCCTATTGGCGAGATATCATCTTTTGTAATCTTCCCGATATTCTTCGAGTTAAATCAAGCCTCCAGTTTCCTAAACTCACATCTTTGATATCCCGCTCAACGAGTGCTATCAGATCTAACAATTGGCGCCCACCGTGGGGCTGGAAACACTTCTCGCTATTCATCTCGAAGGTATCTAGACTTTTACGGAGACACAACGATGGTGAACTCAAGAGAGAACATGTAACACCCCCAGTTCGGTCTATAGACATAGACTAAACCACATATGTCACAACTGTCGAGACTCATCAAATAGGCCGTTCCAGAACAGAGAACGAATCAAAGTCTAGATCAGCCCGTCCGGTGAATCCGACCCTCTCGACCGTAGCATAAGGCTTTGCAACCCGTACCATGGTCTTGAGTTGTGTCGGCTTGGACTAGCCTATTATCATTGAGTAACCGGGTTTAAAAGAAAACATTCTTTTATATATATCAAACTTGTAATACAAATTCTTACAAAACATTTTATACTTTATGTTGCAGCTGCGGCCTAATGCCAAAAGATAATTATACATACATTACCCGAAAACCGAGTTTTGCAAAAAGCCAACCAAACTACTCCGGTCTTCGACTGTTCTGCCTCCTGTTCACAGGATTCTACTCCGAGCTACCTGTAAGACAAATAATCATCATGAGTAACCTAATGTTACTCAGTGAGTTCAGGACCCTCTATACAAAGGTTATTCCCCAAACCCAAACCCCAAAAGAAAAAGGCGGGATCTCATCCGCCACCTGCAACACAAAGCAATTATGCAATATTGCTGCTATAGCCTTAAGACTAACCGTACCCCAATCAAACAAGAACAGGTACGATCAATCCAAGACTATAACAACACTCAAACAAGCAATCAATCAATCAAGCAATGCACACAATCAATCTATATGCAAAGCAACCCTAATCAAGTAGCGGAATACTTGACTTCTACATGCAGTGAGGCCTCTAGGTGCATAAGCCACATTCTCAGCCCACGCCTGTGAAGGTTCACGCTCATCCGGAATCACACAGAAACTAGATGAACGCCTTCACCCGGGCACTACAGTCCATCGCGGTACCCGGTTCATCCTCCCATCTATTGGCCTTACTGGCGCACCATGCCAATGTCTGGTTGGATCCCATATCGTCATATGGTACCATACTCGGCCAAGGCAGCTGACCAGGTTAA